GCCTATTTTTTAAAAAGAATAAGTTTATAGGTATTTAAAAAATAATATTTAGTACTTTTTAATACAAAATTAGAGTTTTTAATATAAAAGAAAATAAAACTCTTTAGATATGTAAATAAAGTAATAATTTGACATATTTAAAAATGGATAGATGAATAGTTTTCGCAACGTTTCAGTTTTACTCCTTCATTAGATAATGTATACAAAAATTCACTCTCCCTTTTTTAATATGTCCCAGTCAATCTTTCTTTTCTCCAACCTCTTTATATTTCAGAAACCCCTCTATATTTTCTGTCTTTCTCTTTAATATTCTTACTCACCTTCTTTCTCCAATATTTCATTACTCACTTTCTTTCTACAAGATTTCATTAGCTCCACTGTTCAACAATACTTTTAAGCTTCCAATAATTCTATACTTCTATTGCTCTATAAAATATTATTTAATATCAACAATATCTCAAGAAAAATTAAATGAGCTGGCTATATTATCAATTCAATAAAGATAATTAGAGAAAATCGATTATAAAAAAGATTATTAACAACTTTGTATTTCAAAAAGTTAGAAGAATATATTTCAAATAAAACGTATGTTATAACTATCTTTTAAAAATTTAGACCACATATTAAACTTTGGCCTTAGGCCCTGCATATCCTTGAGCCGCCCCTGACTGTACTAGTAGTGGTGCAACAACTGCCTTTGCGCTATGTTTATAGAAAAATATAAATTAACGCAAGATATGTATAAATACTAAGAGGATATTTGACAAGCTTATAAGCTTGCCAAATTAGCTTATAACTAATTTTATAGTTTATCTATATGCATTTGGCAACACCAAAAGTACTTATAAACCAAATGCTTATAAGTAATAATAAGTCAAAAGTCATAAATTGTAGTTATAACTTACAATTTTTCAACTTATAAACACTTTTGAGTTTAACCAAGTTTTTCTCTATTCTATCCCTAATATTATTTCATTGTCCTTGAAATATCTTACCGAAATGAAACATTAGAACCCCTAATCTCTCCTACTTCAGCCTCTAGCCTTTTCACGACTTCTTCGAAACTTCAACATTGTTTGCTATCATCAAGAGGTATCAAGATTCTAAATCTCTTCTACCATTAAATACTTTAACCGCTTATTATCAGTTTCAACACTTTTATCAAATACATAACTGCTTATTTAATTATATCAGTTTCAGTACTTAAAAATACTTTTTAACACTAATTCTTATCAGCTATTATAAATTAGTTAAACCAAACTAGCTCTAACTCCATTAACATCAATAAATCAAACTGTACGTGATACAAGCCGGTAACTAAACGCACCGGTTATATGTCTCTTTACAATACTTAAAAGGTTAATTACTTGATCTATTGGTTAAAATTTTAATTTAAGGTTTGCTTATTCTGCAATGTATTTTTTATCAGAAGTGCTTTTTAAAAAAGTATAATAAAATTAGATATATACTTTAAATGCAGAATAATGTAGGAGACACCTCTATTTGTGCGATTTTCAATTGGACACTTGAACTTGATCAAATCTACTCATATAAAACACAATCTCATAACTCAAAATCCACATCATCTACTTCTTAACCTGCCACTGCTAACCTTTGATATTATTCTTAGACTGTTGATTGAGTCTGCTGTGTGGATGAGGTTGTAGTGGTTGTCTTTGACAAGTTGGCAAACCCACAGATCGTCTAAACTTAGTTTGAAGACAAATAAATAACTTGTGCTTGAATTTTACTGCTAATTCCAAGTTTCACACTGCCATTTTGCTCCACTCATCAGTATCTCGTTTTCTTTTCTTTTGTTTTATTTTACCTTTGTTTCTTTCTTGAATGTGTCATAGCAGTTGGGAAGTTGAAGTACGATCACAGAGCTTTCTTTTTAAGGAAAAAACACAAACAAAAAAAAAAAAAAAAAAAAAG